GAATTGAATTAGAGAGCTCTCTAATTGTAATTGTTACTAGTCATAATTGGATTAGAGAGCTCTCTAATGGAATTGTTACTAGTAACAATTGAATTAGAGAGCTCTCTAATGGTAATTCTTACTAGTAACAATTCAATTGTAGAGCTCTCTAATTGTAATTCTTACTAGTAACAATTCAATTAAAGAGCTCTGTAATTAAAAATGAATGGAAGTCAATGGAGACATATGACTAGTAAGAATTCATTTGTAGAGCTCTCTAATTGGAATTGTTACTAGTAAGAATTGAATTAGAGAGCTCTGCAATTGTAATTGTTACTAGTAATAACTGAATTAGAGAGCTCTCTAATTGTATTTTCACTAGTAAGAATTGAATTGTAGAGCTCTCTAATTGAATTCCTACTAGTAAGAATTGCATTAAAGAGCTCTCTAATTGAATTAAAGAGCTCTGCAATTGCATTCTTACTAGTAAGAACTGAATTAGAGAGCTCTCTAAATCAGTTTTTACTAGTAATAATTGCATTAAAGAGCTCTCCTAATGTAATTCTTACTAGTAAAAACTGATTTAGAGAGCTCTCTAATTTAATTCTTACTAGTAAGAATGCAATTGCAGAGCTCTTTAATTCAATTAAAGAGCTCTGCAATTACATTCTTACTAGTAAGAATAACAATTAGAGTATGGCAAGCCGTTTTAGCTTAAATTGTACCCAGCCTTACTTGTTGTAATTTCAATTTTACTAGTAAGAATTTAATTAGAGAACTTTACAATTCAATTCGTACTAGTAGCAATTACAATTAGAGAGCTCTCTAATTCAATTATTACTAGTAACAATTGCGATTAGAGAGCTCTCTAATTCGATTCTTACTAGTAAGAATGTAATTGCAGAGCTCTTTAATTGAATTAAAGAGCTCTGCAATTGCATTCTTACTAGTAAGAATTAAATTAGAGAGCTCTCTAAATCAGTTTTTACTAGTAAGAATTACATTAGGAGAGCTCTTTAATGCAATTATTACTAGCAAAAACTGATTTAGAGAGCTCTCTAATTCAGTTCTTACTAGTAAGAATGCAATTGCAGAGCTCTTTAATTCAATTAGAGAGCTCTTTAATGCAATTCTTACTAGTAGGAATTCAATTAGAGAGCTCTACAATTCAATTCTTACTAGTAGCAATTACAATTAGAGAGCTCTCTAATTCAATTCTTACTAGTGAAAATACAATTAGAGAGCTCTCTAATTCAGTTATTACTAGTAACAATTACAATTGCAGAGCTCTCTAATTCAATTCTTACTAGTAACAATTCCAATTAGAGAGCTCTACAAATGAATTCTTACTAGTCATATGTCTCCATTGACTTCCATTCATTTTTAATTACAGAGCTCTTTAATTGAATTGTTACTAGTAAGAATTACAATTAGAGAGCTCTACAATTGAATTGTTACTAGTAAGAATTACCATTAGAGAGCTCTCTAATTCAATTGTTACTAGTAACAATTCCATTAGAGAGCTCTCTAATCCAATTATGACTAGTAACAATTACAATTAGAGAGCTCTCTAATTCAATTCTTACTAGTAACAATTTAATTGTAGAGCTCTCTAATTGAATTGTTACTAGTAACAATTACAATTAAAGAGCTCTGTAATTGAATTATAGAGCTCTCTAATTGCATTCTTACTAGTAACAATTCAATTAGAGAGCTCTCTAATGCAATTGTTACTAGTAAGAATTACAATTAGAGAGCTCTCTAATTCAATTCTTACTAGTAACAACTCAATTGCAGAGCTCTTTAATTCAATTAGAGAGCTCTCTATTTCAATTGTTACTAGTAAGAATGCAATTGTAGAGCTCTCTAATTGAATTATTACTAGTAAGAATTCCAATTAGAGAGCTCTCTAATCCAATTATTACTAGTAACAATTATAATTAGAGAGCTCTCTAATTCAGTTGTTACTAGTAAGAATGCAATTGCAGAGCTCTCTAATTCAATTACAGAGCTCTCCAATTATACATATCTTTAATTCGTTTTTTTACTAGTAAAAATTCAATTAGAGAGCTCTGTAATTGCATTCTTACTAGTAATAATTGAATTAGAGAGCTCTCTAATTGTAATTGTTACTAGTAAGAATTGAATTAGAGAGCTCTCTAATTGTAATTGTTACTAGTAAGAATTGGATTAGAGAGCTCTCTAATTGTAATTGTTACTAGTAATAATTGAATTAGAGAGCTCTCTAATTGTAATTCTTACTAGTAACAATTCAATTATAGAGCTCTCTAATTAAAAATGAATGGAAGTCAATGGAGACATATGACTAGTAAAAATTCATTTGTAGAGCTCTCTAATTGTAATTCTTACTAGTAAGAATTGAATTGGAGAGCTCTCTAATTGTAATTGTTACTAGTAATAATTGAATTAGAGAGCTCTCTAATTGTAATTGTTACTAGTAATAATCGAATTAGAGAGCTCTCTAATTGTAATTGTTACTAGTAGTAATTGAATTGTAGAGCTCTCTAATTGAATTATTACTAGTAAAAATGTAATTACGACGAGTAAGGCTGGGTACAATTAAAGCTAAAACGGCTTGCCATAATTAGAGAGCTCTCTAATCGCAATTGTTACTAGTAATAATTTAATTAGAGAGCTCTCTAATTGTAATTGCTACTAGTACGAATTGAATTGTAAAGTTCTCTAATTAAATTCTTACTAGTAAAAATGAAATTACAACAAGTAAGGCTGGGTACAATTTAAGCTAAAACGGCTTGCCATAAACCCCATACAAATGAATGGCAAAAGTGATGTCATTTGTCCTAGGAAGAATGTCTTTGTGGATATCTGAAATGACAATTATGGATAGGAAGAATGTAATTGCGGATATCTGAAATGTTATTTTTGACTAGGCAAAACTGAATTACAGATATCTGCAACACATATCCAGTCTAGCTGTTAAATGTTAAAATGGCTTGCCATATCAGTACCGTCACTGACGCTTTACCTAAGCGTCAGTTAGATGACGCGGGTAGGTTTAGGTCTGGGGTAGGGTTAGGATTAGATAGCGTCATCTAACTGACGTTAAAGGTAAAGCGTCAGTAAGATGACGCCCTAGGATCGCGTCATGTAACTGACGCTAAAGGGTGCCTAAAGCGTCGAATATTGAAGCATGGTCAAAATGATTCCCAAGGCGTCAGTTTCATGACGCCTAGGGATGAGAATGGGCTGATATATTAATCACTTTAATTGCTTTACTATTTTTTGATTTTGACATCATGTCAACATACATTTTAATCTCTTTCCCAAGCACCATAAAAAGAGGTTTGCCTTTTGTAAACTTGCATTTATGAATGTGAAATTTACATAGAAATAAAATAAAATTTATAATAAAACCAACATCCTTTAAAGAGCGATCCTTAATATAATAGCCCAAAATCACATGTTTGTACGATAATTTAAATGTTTTTAAAATATTATCAGCAATGAAAATCTCCACATTATTCCAAAAATACTGGGTATATTGGCAAGACCAAAACAAATGAGAGATTGTTTCAGGGGAGCATTCACAGAAAGAACATTTTAAATCAATATTAATTTTAAATCTTTGTAGGAATACCTTTGTAGGATACACTCTATGAATTAATTTATATGAGATTTCCTTAACCTTATTTGTAAGGAGGAATTTTTGAGGTAATGACCAAACTTGAGTCCAATTTACATTACTAAAGAAACTATTCCAGTAGAAAATAACATAAGGCGTAGAAATAATCTCTCTTAAAAACAAGGACCTAATTTTGTAATTGTTAGGCTTTAACCCAGAGAAACAAATATTGCCGACATAAGTATGTTCAGGTCTAGGAGGACAGACAGATAGTGTGGATGTATATACACTGCTTTTGAACAGCATCTGTACACCTGCAGGTATTGCCTTAGTAAGCACCTTGAATTCTTTTAATGTAATAGGTATGTTGTACATTGAGATAAAATCTGCAAACGTAAATAAATTCCCTTCATTATTAAATAACTGATTCACTAAAAACAACCCATTACTAAACCAATTATGAAAAAATAAAGACTTATTTCTATTCAAAATGTTGGCATTATTCCAAATAAGAAAACTATGAGGGGAGAAGTTGTGTTTATAAATAAGACTCCAATTAGCGAGTAGCCTACTTGTTGGTGAAACTTAGAAAGTTTGATTGGTAGTTTTCCAATTTTGTAATTACACATCAAAAGAAATTCTAGGCCACCCACATGAGAAAAGATAAACCGAGGAATTATATTCCAAATAGATGAAGAGTTTTGAAGGTATTGTCTTATCCAATTTATTTTAAAGTTACTGTTTAGAGAACTAAAATCAATAAAATTCAACCCGCCTTTGTCATATGAATTCAGTATTACTGATTTTTTTATAATGAATTTTGTTTTTCCACAGGAATTTTGTCAATATACCGTCAATTAGTTTACATGTGTGTTTGTCAACAGAGATCGATTGAGCGGCATATGATAATCGAGAAATGCCCTCTGCTTTAGTAAGCAGTGCAGAACTCTGCCTTTAAGTGATAAATCTCTTAACAACCAATGGTTCAATACCTTACGTGTCTTTTCAATAATCGGAAGAAAATTGGAAGGGCATCTAATTTTATCATCTTTGATTATTTTAACTCCCAAATAAGTAACACTCTCTCTCACAGGAATATTACAAATTAAGGACTCCAGACAATTACCAACTGGGAGTAACTCACATTTGTTTATGTTAAGGCGAAGACCTGAGGCTTTAGAAAAGGGCTCAAGAGTCTCTAGTGCTCTGCTGATATTTTCAATGTGCTAAAATGAGAGTAACGGATTACCTTGGAGCAGCCATAATAAAATTCATAAAATGGAAAGATCCTGCTTTAAACTCCAAAGCACAATGAGAGGTGCTAAAGTTAACGTGTCTGAAAGGGTTAAAGGACAATCAATCATGCAATGTAACCTGTTTGTCCATAGCATAGGCTAAAAAAAATACACGTATAAGAGACGTTTTGATTGTTGAAGATTTTATTGATTGCGTCTGATATTTTATTTTTCATTATTTGAGGTAGCCCCTGAATGATGATCTTAGCCTATCTGTATTTATCGGCGAGGGCTGCAGACACACCCGCAAGAAACTTGTCCACGGCCACGTGCACTTCTGCAGTGAAGTCAGCGGGGAAATGAACTGCAAGAGTCACGAGGATGTTATGGGAAAGAATCTGAAAAACAAAAACAATTAATACACTATGAATTAATAATCCACATTTTATTTCACATCTTGAATGTCTCCTTTTGATTGAACTCAGAGTGCTCCACTCCATGATTTGGGTGTCTCACGAGTGAAAGGATTGAAACTGCACATAGAAATCATCTCACCTTAAAGTTTACAGGGTCAATCCGAAACTTAGTGGCATGGATATCGCTCAAGGTGCTCATTCCACCAATAAGATCATCCATTTTGCCCACAGCATTAGTGATGGCTGTCATCACAGTTTTGCCGTGTTTCTTCACTTGCGGAGAGTCGAGAGAAAAATCAGTCCAGTCAGAAAAATATATTTTAGTCTGAGGGTAGACAACGAGCATTCTGTGGGAAGGAGAAAAATCCGTTATTTGGTTTGGAAAAACTCTTTGACATTGGTTTGCTTGGTGTCAAAAAATAATTAAAATGTAGATCTCTTACCGTCCCAGAGCTTCTTGTCCTATGGCGTCAGCCTTACCAGAGATTTTACCCCAGAAGGCCTTGACAAAGGCTTTATCCTTAGCTGTCAAACTCATTTCTCGATCCTTTCCACTTCGGTATTACAAGAGAAAAGTTTTAGTTGAAGGATAAGGGGTCTTTTTTTATATTAGTTGAAGGATAAGGGGTCTTTTTTATAATGCGCAGTTCTGCCACACCCAACAGCGCATCAGCTCCACCTCTCAGACTTCAGCCAACAATTACAGACGCATTTTGTCAATTTATTTCATCATTCCTTTAAAAAAAGTCTTTATTCCTTTATTTTAAATGAGAGAGAGAGAGATAAAACAGAAAATGTCTATGAATCTATTTTGCATGATCTCTCTAAACAGCGATATATATCCTAAAAGAATAACCAGAATCCTAAACAATATATTGAATGTCTTGGCCTTAAAAAAAAAAAAAATCCTTGCTTTTTTCTCCCTTTTTTATTACTAAATTAACAATATATTTTTCTGAACAATTTATATTCTGTCTGCTGTGTTTGCATGTAAAAGTTGCAGCCTTAAATCTTTAAGTAGCCTACAATTAACTTGGATGTTTAAGTTATTTCAAGTTAAATTACATCAAACTGACTTTTATATATATATAAAAAAGTTTAATTTAGTAGCTATAACAAAAAAGGTGAACATTGCTTATGTTATTACATTGCTTTAACTCATCAAAATAAGTTATGTTGTCATAACATGACCATGTAATTTTTTTATACAGTGTGCGAGATGCTTCGGGGTCTTTTGGGGACACCAAATAGCACCTAAAGGGGTGGGGCAAATGCAAAAAGAACAGGACATCCACGGTTATCAAGATTAAACAAATTAAGAACATTTTGAAATGGGAGGAACGGGTCTGAGTGTCCAGATAAAGCAAAATGAGCTGGCATTCGTTCAAATTAAAAAATTAAATTAGATGTTGAAAGCGTTAATTCTATTTAATTTAACGTTAAGTTAATTTTAATAATTTACATGCCCGAGCTTTTCCCCTACTGATTCATGTGTCTAAATATTAGCCTAACATTGACTATGTGCCATCCACTGTTAATGCGACACATGTGCCTATTTTTTTTTAAGGTTACCCATAGTTGGCAACATTTTCTGAGTATGGAATTAGACAAATTAAAACATATGATTAGATTTTGGACTCTTACACACAACAATAGCCTACACACGACATTCGTGATTTTGATGATTGAATCCATATTTATTTTGAGATACGAAATGGGTTCAAATGAGTTCAATCTAAGTTCGCAGTTTCTGATCAAAATGTAGCTAACTAGGATCGGATCCAAGTACGAATGGGTACCACACCAATCAGTCTCGGCGCCTGGTGTGGGCGGAGAGTGCGAGTATAAATAAAAACTCCGCGCGCATCTATCTATGTTCACACTTGTTGAAAAAGGAAAGAGATAATCAAAATGGTGGAGTGGTCAGATTCCGAGCGCAAAACTGTTGCGAGTCTCTGGGGCAAAATCAACGTCGGTGAAATCGGACCCCAGTCTCTGGCAAGGTAATGTAAAAGCGTGTCACATATACATACCACGTCGTTAATTCAATGTATTTTGAAAAGAGTTTGGATTTATAGAGCTTTTTCCATTCCTTCATGTGACAGGGTGCTGATTGTATACCCCTGGACTCAGAGGTATTTCGGTACCTTTGGAGACCTATCCAGTGCAGCTGCAATCCTGGGCAATCCTAAAGTGTCAGCACATGGTAAAACTGTGCTAAATGCGTTGGACAAAGCCGTGAAGAACATGGATAACATCAAAGCCACTTACGCCAAACTTAGCCAGCTGCACTGCGAGAAACTCAACGTCGATCCAGGCAACTTCACTGTAAATGCTTTACTTTCTAAATTTGAAGCGTATTAAGAAGAATATAACAGACGGTTGTTGCCTAACAAATGCACGTTTTTTTGACCCACGCAGCTGTTGTCCGATTGCCTCACCATTGTTCTTGCGACCACATTTGGACCCGCTTTCACCCCTGCAGTTCAGGCCACCTGGCAGAAGCTCCTGTCTGTAGTTGTGTCCGCTCTCACCAGCCAATACTTCTGAAGACCTGCTCGACATCTCTGCCTCAATGCAATGATTCGATGAATTAAAGTGTTGAAAAGTATATAAATAAAGCAATCAAACAAGGGTTGGATTGTGAGTCTTTTTATTCATCAAGTAAATTACTTTAACATACAGCAACATGAAATGTTAGGCATTTCTCATTAATGAGCATCAATATTTCTCTCCAAAATGAACAAAACTGTTGCCATCAAATTCAGCATTATCAGTGAATAGTTGTTCACATTGGAATGGTTATGAAGTAGGCCTAATATTTTCTTTTTCAATTTTTAAAACACTCAAAATGCTCTTAATTTGATCATAATTGTATAAGCAGACTTTCGGACGGTAGCGGTATGCTGCAAGTTGGGCCATGAATGTGCATATAAATTATTGGCCTACATTAGGATGGTTCCGAGTTCTTGTAGCCTCAGGTTATTTTTAATAAAATGAGACACCCATTTATTGGTCAAACCTATCTCATGGGAGAAGAAATACTAATCAATGAAAGTGCAAAAAGTGGTCACATGACCCAAAGGGGTCCATTTAGTGTCTTGTTTCAGCAAAAATGCACAGGTCACATGGCTCCATATTTTCCCCAATAAAAAGTGCATTTTTCATAAATTTGCGACCAGTTATTCACCCACACAAATATGAGTCACCTTCACTGGTGATTAAAGACGTATTTTCAAGACCTTTACATTATATATCATCAAATGTTTTAAAGGACATGACAAAAAACTGAGGCAACATTGTACCACAATGGAATTGCATAAAACCATAGGTTGGAATAAAAATATATATATTTGTAAGGAAAAGAGTTAGAATTATCTAACTCATGATTTTGTATTGCACTCATAAGAATAGTAATTCACACACTATATCTTACTGCACATATTATGATCTGCACATATCTAAAAAGGTATAAAACACAACTGCCAGTTGATAGGATATATAGAGCTTTATTGTCATTGTAAACAACAAGATTACAAAAAGTCACCATGCTCAGCAAACAACAAAAATTAGAAAACAATAACTACACATGGGATTAACATAAAACGAAAATAAATAACAAAAATATGGGATGAAAAAGAGTAGCAATATGATGAGATTAACAGGTTTTATTTAATTTTTTGTCCTAATCTTGTTGGTTGGATTTTGGATTTTTTAACAAACAGGGTACAGAGAGTAAAGGTGAATGGAGCTCTGACTGGTCAGCTTTGCTCTTCCACAGGTTCACCACAGGGGTGTGTACTTTCACCCCTTCTGTTCATTCCACACTCACCTAAAGGATTATTAGGAACACCATACTAATACTGTGTTTGACCCCCTTTCGCCTTCAGAACTGCCTTAATTCTACGTGGCATTGATTCAACAAGGTGCTGAAAGCATTCTTTAGAAATATTGGCCCATATTGATAGGATAGCATCTTGCAGTTGATGGAGATTTGTGGGATGCACATCCAGGGCACGAAGCTCCCGTTCCACCACATCCCAAAGATGCTCTATTGGGTTGAGATCTGGTGACTGTGGGGGCCATTTTAGTACAGTGAACTCATTGTCATGTTCAAGAAACCAATTTGAAATGATTTGAGCTTTGTGACATGGTGCATTATCCTGCTGGAAGTAGCCATCAGAGGATGGGTACATGGTGGCCATAAAGAGATGGACATGGTCAGAAACAATGCTCAGTTAGGCCGTGGCATTTAAACGATGCCCAATTGGCACTAAGGGGCCTAAAGTGTGCCAAGAAAATATCCCCCACACCATTACACCACCACCACCAGCCTGTACAGTGGTAACAAGGCATGATGGATCCATATTCTCATTCTGTTTACGCCAAATTCTGACTCTACCATCTGAATGTCTCAACAGAAATCGAGACTCATCAGACCAGGCAACATTTTTCCAGTCTTCAACTGTCCAATTTTGGTGAGCTCTTGCAAATTGTAGCCTCTTTTTCCTATTTGTAGTGGAGATGAGTGGTACCCGGTGGGGTCTTCTGCTGTTGTAGCCAATCCGCCTCAAGTTGTGCGTGTTGTGGCTTCACAAATGCTTTGCTGCATACCTCGGTTGTAACGAGTGGTTATTTCAGTCAACGTTGCTCTTCTATCAGCTTGAATCAGTCGGCCCATTCTCCTCTGACCTCTAGCATCAACAAGGCATTTTCACCCACAGGACTGCCGCATACTGGATGTTTTTCCCTTTTCACACCATTCTTTGTAAGCCCTAGAAATGGTTGTGCGTGAAAATCCCAGTAACTGAGCAGATTGTGAAATACTCAGTCCGGCCCGTCTGGCACCAACAACCATGCTCAAAATTGCTTAAATCACCTTTCTTTCCCATTCTGACATTCAGTTTGGAGTTCAGGAGATTGTCTTGACCAGGACCACACCTCTAAATGCATTGAAGCAACTGCCATGTGATTGGTTGATTAGATAATTGCATTAATGAGAAATTGAACAGGTGTTCCTAATAATCCTATAGGTGAGTGTATTATACAAACGTGTGTCAGAGCAAATATGTAAATAGGACCATTATTAAATATGCGGACGACTCCGTCATAGTAAGTCCCTCTTGAGGTGTCGTGGGCTAGTCGACGAAACACTGAGGATGGAAGGTGCCCATTTGAAGACCCTAGAGATGTCCCCTACTCGGCTCAATCCAGACGGTTGTCGTGCTGGTCCACTGGGGAGACCACACTGTAGTTGCAGCTGTTGTGTGTGCTGACGCGCCAAGTACACTGCAGCCGTTAACGCCGGACAGAAGGCGATTCACATCACCATATGGAAGGAAGCGTAAATGGATGGAGAAGCATAGGTTACTGTAAAGCTACGTCTTAGTTTGTGCTTATCTTGGCGAAAGCAGAGTACAAATCAGCATGTTGTTTTAACATCTACTCTCGTGTAATGGAAATCAATTTATACAAAGATTTTGTATAAATGGTCAGCTAGTGGATCAAGTACAACCCTAAAGATACCTAGGGACAATTATTGACTATAAATTAAATTTTCAGGAGAATAGTGAGGCTGTCTGTAAAAAAGGACAACAGCGTCTATACTGTTTGAGAAAATTTTACCATTTTAATATAGACAAGACTATGATGACAATGTTTTATCATGCTTTTATTGAAACCATCAAATCTTTCTCCCTAGTGGCATGGTTTGGTTGTGTCTCAAGCACAAGAATCGCCTAAACCAAATTGTAAAATGGTCAAGTAAGCTGACTGGGGAGCCCCAGCTGCACCCCGCATCCCTGCTAAACAATTACAGCGGCTAGCTATGGCTATCAAAAAAGATAGCCTACATCCTCTGAATAGGGAATTCCAGTATCTCACCTCTGGACGGAGGCTAAAAGTTCCTGGTTACAGAACCACAAGATTTAAAAACAGTTTTGTACCAGCGGCAATCACTCTGTTTAACAAACGGTAAAACTATTTGCACAAAACGCATAAGCAATCTGGTCATGTACTGTTTTCTGTTCCTCCTTTTTTTTTTTTACTACCTGTTTTTATATGTTTTAATGTTTTGTATGTTGCATGCTATGTTGTGGTCAACAAAATTTTAAGGATGTCCTGCCTCTCAGACTGTAAAACTAGTTTACCTTCGGGTACCAATAAAGTAACCTAACCTAACATTCTAGTCTCTGTGGACTTTGATTATTTAACACCGAGGTTAGTTAGTTAGCGTCCTGTTCACCCTAGCTGGGTATGGACGACATCCTCTGTGATGCATTTCCATTGTACTCGGTCCATTGCCAAGGTTTGTATATGTTCTTGCCAATCCCGGTCATATTTCTTTCTGCTCAGTCCAAAGGGCACCATGATAAAAGACTCAGCAGTCTTATAAATGTATCTTTTTGTTGTTGTACGAACGCCTCCTTTAGGGCGTTTCCAAAAGGGTCCAGGGGTGGCCATAAAGGTTAGTAGTGGTAAGCGACTATTTTGCATACGTAAGACATGTCCTATCCATTTCCAGCGACGCCGGGTAAGTACAGAGGACAGGGGCTCCTTTAGCACACAGCGTTCTCGGACCTGATCATTGGAGATGAAATCAGACCATCGAATTTTTGCTATGCATCTCAGGCAACGGTGGTCAAATATTTCCATCCTTTTTTGTTGGTCGACTTTCAAGGGCCATGTTTCAGAGGCATACAGCAGTGTCGCTCGAACTATAGCACAGTAAATTCTTGTTTTTGTCTTGATACGAATGTCACGTCTGTTCCAAAAATAATTCAATGCCGCAAAGATTGAGGAGGCCCTTTGTATTCTTGTTTGGACTTCTTCATCTGTATTGCCTATTAGGGTAAATAGGCAATACAGATGAAGAACACCGAGGTATGATGGATTGGGTAGCAGAAGTGGTGTTCAGTATTGTCACAGCCCTGGGAAAGAAACTATTTTTCTTCATCGAAGTCCGAGCAGTGATATTCCTGTATCTCCTCCCAGGCAGAAGGTTAAACAGCCGATGGCTTGGGTGAGATGGGTCTTTTATGATGTTTTGAGTCCAGGTCTCGTAATTGGGTCCCAATGGTATCCTGTACTTACAATTCTTTGCAGCATTTTCCTGTCAGCCTGATTACAGTTACCATACATGATGTCATACAGTATGTTATTGTACTTTTGATGGCACTGTAATAGAAGTTCACCAGCAGTTTCTGGGGTAGACCGGATCTTTTGTGTGTCCTCAGGTAATATAGGCTCTGCTGGGCTTTTCCCGGCACAGTGGAGATGTGAGTGGTCCAGTTGAGCACCTCTGTGATTTGTACCCCCAGAAATCCCCCACTGCATCTTCATTTATGAGGAGTGGGGCATGTTCAGTCCTTTTTTTTCTCCAGTAGTCAATGATTATTTCCTTTGTTTTCCTGATGTTGAGTGTGAGGTTGTGTCCATCACACCATGTGTGCAATCTCTGTACCTCTTGTCTGTATGCTGTTTCACTGTTGTTTGTTATCAGTCCAATGACCGTAGTGTCATCTGCAAACTTGACAATAAGGTTTTTGGGGTTAATGGTAACACATTCATGTGTGAAAGTGTAAAGAAGTGGGCTAAGAACACACCCCTGCGGTGCTCCAGTACTCAGGGATAGAG